TGGTTGGTTGCAAATGATGAAAAGATAACTGGAATTTTCAGTTGGTTTTATTACCTGGTTTTAACCTCTCTTTTTAATTGTAAAAAGTTTCAATAAAAACATCCTGGAGAGATTTCCTCTACAGTTCTTATAATTTAATCCGATCAATGAGGAAAAGCTGCAGCTGGAGAGAAAAGAAATAAACACCTCCAGTAATGCAATCAAGACACAGATACATGGTACACAAGGAAGGGGAAAATCAGCAGAATGGCAAGGAATAGCTAAAGAAACTATTAAATAAGGGTTTGTGTAATTTTAAAATATTCCTCTCTCTTTTGATGTTTTCAAACTTACCTGGGACTGCTTCCCCTTTGGAAGTTGATTTTGAAAGGTAACTTGTGATAATTCTGACAGTATCAGATTGGGTCAGCTTTGGTTTAGTTTAATGCCCATCTTCAGTAGTGTTACCATAATTTCTGTTTAATTATGAATACAGTCTAATTACAGATGAGGAAAGTGACTCTTTCCCTCGACCAAGACCTGTCTGGTTACTGGTCAGTGTGAGCCAAGTGTCAGAGGAAAGGGATGTGATCACCATGTCTCAAAAGGGCAGTGAAAGCAAATTCCTCATTCCAAAGAGGCACCTCTCAGCCTGATGCTCAAGGAAAAGAGGTTTTTCCGTGTTCATACTACATGTAACTCTCCCAGGAACTTTTGAACCTGGCAGTCAACTCCAATAGAATTAGTGAGGGGCAAGGTACAGATCCCTGAGATAAGTTCCAACTGCTTTTTGAAGAGAAGTGGCTTCATTGAAGAAAGGTGGCAGTGAGAGTCCCCATCTAATTGAGCAATGGAGAATTGACACTGTGAAGGAACTTAAAAACAATTCCACTGGGGAAAAAAAATGCAGTGGGAGATCTATCTTCCCAGACAAACATCAGGCACCTGTTAAGATAAGCATTCGTGGGAAACCTGGCCTCCCTAATTACAGTGTGGCACAACTTGTGTGCTACACCTGAGCTCTGCAGCTGCAGCCTACCCTGCAACATGGTAGATTCCAAGCTGATTTAATGACAGACTTTTGCAAGAAGTCATCCAGACCTATTCCAGGTCAGCTAATGGCTTTTTAGGGTTCTTTTCACTGCCAGTTTTTAGAAGGAGTGAAAATGTCTGTGCCTGTTGTGATCAAAACACGTTCTCTTTTCATTTCAACCAAAACAAATTTCTACTGCCCGAAGTATGAACTATTTTCAGCTCATAAACAATATGGCAGTTTATCAGAAACCTGGTAGGCCTGCAATATTCTCCCTTACAGAATACTAACAGCTCATACTCACCTTCAGTGTCATTCTCAAACTTTGTAAGAGGGAGGGAATTATTGCTGGGGTTACAGATCAAAGCACCCAGGGTCCTGTAAAACTGAAATCAGAGGAACAGGATTTGGTGCTTCCTACATCTGTGGGATAACAGAACACTGTCAAACCACTGAAATTTCCTGTTCTTCATCATCGTGTACCTTTTACATCAAACTTTTAAATGAACACAACATAAAGACTCTTTGGATAACTGATAACTACTGTTCCAAAACCAACTTTTGAACAACTTACCTGCCCTGTGGTTCATGCTGTGCAGACTGTATGAGTAAACCCTGAGAAGATCCCAGGCAAATAAAACTTGAAAATTCCACAAAATTTTAAGAAATAAGTTTTCTAGTGCTCAAGCTCACACTCAGCTACTCCTCAGCATTTTTTTAATGCAATAGTGGATAATCTAAACATACACAACCTTAACCAGCCTGTCCAAAATGTGGAAGACAGGCAGGTCAAACACATGCAGTGCTTTGTGGAAGGCTACCGGGGGCTGTAGGGCATTTCCTCATGTGAACACTCAGTGTACTTCTCTTGCTCTTTCTTGATCAAAAAGTCCCTCTCCCAGGTCTGAAATGACTGATGCCCTGATCTGTTTTCAGGCCATTACCTTGCCAGGAAATCATTTCAGGTCTCAAGTGCAAAGTTTCTTCTCCTCGTATGTCAAACATCATGGTTACACATGTTTTGGTAAGATGTTACATGTATGTATTTCAGAATTATTAATTTAATCCCATAATCTATAAGGATCCATACTGGATACATGGGTGAAAATCAAGAATGCTTGCTTATGAAAGGGAAGGATTACTTTTGAACTCGTGGCTGGAATTTCTGATCACAAACATACCTGTAAATGCTCTGCTTGGATTATCATGCTACTGGGTCCTGGCTGCTGGCAGACTAATGCTCATATTTTCCTGAGCCCATTCAATCTGAAACAGAGTTACAGCACAGTTCTCAATTGTTCCAGTAACTGCTGATGCAGTGATGTCCTTGCTCACTATGCAACTTTGTTTGATCCAGATCTACACACAAATCCTGTTTCAGACAGATTCTTCTCATGCAATTCAAACGGGAGGCAGCACCCATGCCCACTCTGCCCCTGTGCTGAGTGTGGACAACTGACAGGTTTGATACATCCACCTTGCTTCTTGTGATCCTAGTTAATGTTATGGCTGCTCTTAACAAGTGCATTATTTTCTCAAGGATAGGAAAAAAAACCCAAACCAAACCCAAAAGAACAAAAAAAAAAAAAAGGAAAAGAAAAAAGTTCAGCCTATAAAAAAGCAGCCACTACCCTTCCTCCTGCCTGGAAGGTAAGCAGGACCCTTCAAGTAGGCCAGATGCCTACTGGCATTTCCTGGATGCCAGGGAATGGACCACCTTTCTTCAGCAAAAGCCCATTTCTGTTTGGTGTCTTCCAAGAAACTTCCTTATCAGGACCACAACTAACCCCCAACCTGTGCCCCAGGATCTTGTCCTTTAGCAGAAAGCCATGCTCACATGCTGCCTAGCCCCAAAACCAACCCAAGTATCCTCTCAAGTTCTTAAAGGGTTTGCTCTATTACAATATTTTGGCACAAAGGCCACCATATTTTATGCCTGGTAAACTTTTATTCAGTTTAAGCTGTCACACCTGGGCAATGTGGCCTTGTGTGACACCGAGCACTTGGCATCCAAAGGCAACACCACCATCAGGTGATGCTGCTGGAGTAGCCAAAGCATTTGCCCCAGCTCAGGAAGAGATCCATCACCAGCAATTTTCTTCCTTGTGCACTTTTTAATTGCTTTTATGTTAACTTCTCACAATTGTTTTTTAGACTATTTCAGCTCAAAGCTAAGTGAACACTCACCCATATACTAAAAATTCTTACTGAGTGACCTGTGTGGGACTCAGCCTCGCGGGCCCGCAAAAGGAAAAGATGGGTGCCCACATTTAGCTGTGTGAAATTTAGAGAACAGTTTAAATTTATCAGCTTTTTGTTTGCAGTCCAAAGAGCACATGGTGGTTTAAATATTTTTTAAAGGTTGGTATGAGATGGAGCACAGACCCACAGGAATGTTTCTCACCCTGTAAGACAGCACTGTGCAGTGATGTAATTATTAGGCATAATTAATTAGATGCAATTATTCTCACTGTTTTTCTTGATTTTTTTCCTTTTAAATTTGTCTGGAGACAGGAACAAGGTAAAGTGTTGTCAGCTTTCATGTTTTAAAGCCAACCCTTAAACCATTTCATCAGATAATTCTGCTCTGACAGTTTTTTTCTCTGTCTGGGGAACAATTCCATAACTTACCTCTGTCAATGAGTTTTAAGAAGCTGCATGTGTGCTAAAGTAGCTTGACAGACTACAAGAAAAAAAAAAAACCTGCCAGAGTTCCTGCCTAATTCCTTCAGGAGAGCTATGCTTTCTTCCACAAACCAGCCAAGTTTCCATAAACCTGGAAAAGCACACACGTGCAACGCGTTAAAAACCACGGAACAATGAATCAGGCAAGCATTCAGGCGTTTCAGAATTCACCCGGTGTCTCGCACATGGTTTTTAGGCGCTGCAGCGAGAAACGGCAGCGCCTGGAAGAGCGTCTGAAGGCGCGCTCCCAAAACGCGAATTCACTACTTTTAGGGACAAAAAAACCGGTTTTCCCAATAACAAAGGCGGTTCAGATCGTGCCGCAGAAAATACTTACATCCTGTTGGAATATACAGAATGAAAAATAAAGCACTGGACAAAGCTGTGCGTGCCCGGTTCCCGCAGAGGTTCTTTATTGCCACAGCCCGGTTCGTGCAAACGCGGGTCCCACCTGTGCGGCGGGACCCCCCCCGTCCCTGCCGCGGGTGCTGCAGCCGCGGGGGCGATGGGGCCCATGGGGCTGTCAGGGGCCATGAGGGCCGTAAGAGCGAGCGGCACCCGCGCCCCGACCCCCTCCCCGCGCCATGACGTCACACACCCTCCCCGCGCCGTGACGTCATCGCGCCCCGCGCCTGCGCGGGCCCCCACCCCACTCCTCCCCTCGCGCCTCCCCGGACCCCTCGAGCGGGCGGTTTTGGGGGCGTGGCTCCCCGGGGGCGTGGCCCCCCGCGCGCGCGTGCGCGCGCGCCCCCGGCGGCGCCCGCCCCCGTGACGGGTTTGCGTGACGGCGGCGGCGGCTCCGGGAGCGCGCGCGCGCCCGCCCGCCCGCCTTTCGATACCGCGAGCGCCTATCGCGACCGCCTGTCGCGACCGCCGCCTCTCCGCCGCCGCCTCCTCCTCGCGCCCGGGAGCGGG